CGGGGCTCATGAGGGAGAATGTGTGCTTTTGGGGCTTAGCACTAGGAGTAGAGCATGGGTGGGGCATGGCTAGGTGAGCCTCTCTGCTCAGACGCCACGCCCCCTCCATTCCCCCCACCCTCGACCCCCAGGAAAGTGCCCTGGCTGCTGCCTCCTGGTGGCCAGCGGAGGCCTTGCGGGAATCCTACAAGGGCGAGTTTGCTCTGAGAGGAAGTCTAAGGCTGATGGCTTGCCGTCCTAGTCACAGGCAGACTGCTTTCCGACAGATAGTGGCGCTGAAGCAACTAAGGCCCACCCTGAATTCTGACGTGGGGCCCTGGAGTTCCCCGGCCAGGCTAAAGGAAGTGAGCAGTGCCCTAGCCGGTTTGGCTTCGTGGGTAGAGCTGTCAGCCTGCGGACTGAAGGGTTGTGGGTTTGATTCCAGTCAAGGGCACATGCCTGGGTTTTGGGCTCAATCCCCAGGGAGGGGCGTGCAGGAGGCAGCTGATCCATGATTCTCATCATTGATGTTTCTAGCTCAATAAAAAACATATTCTTAAAAAAAAAAAAAAAAAGTGAACAGAAAGGACCAGAAGGAAAGGGCAGCTCCGGACAAGGGTTTCATGGGAGAAGTCCACAAGCTTCTAAGAAGCGGAACCCAGCGGCTGTCAGGGCCAGTACACAGGCCCTCCCTCGCCCAGGAAGTGCTTCCATTGTATAACCCCTTGCCCAAAGGGTCTGACCAGGGGCCTGGTGTTCACAAGTAGAACAACTGCCACGACCCTGCGGGCTCAGCCCCAAGTGCCCGTCCGGGCCGGCTGCCCAGGGGGCTGGGCCAGGCGTGGCCCTGTGGGGGAGGAGGGAACCTGGAGCTGGGGAAAGGAAGCCGGGGTTGTGGGAGTCTGTGCCCAGTCTGCAGCAGAGGCAGTGAGCTCTGCAATAAGGGGAGTGCCTTCCCAAGCATCCAACCTCTGTGTCAGGTGCACCGAGGTAACTCTTGGCCCAGCAAGACTTGCTTCTACTGCAAGACTGGGCCGCTCAGGAGGGCAGGGTTTTTATGGTTTTACCTTTGGGGCCCTAAAAGGGCTTGTAGGTCCTTAGAAATAGGAGCTGAAGATGGAACCTGTCTTCAAGGAGCTCACACTTGGCCCGGGAGTTACCTGGTACATGCTCAGCTGAGGGCAGACCAGTCTCGCCCAGCTGCATCCAGGCCCTGTGGGAGGAGTCTGAGGAGGGGGCGTGGCCCTAGCGAGCTCCCCGGGGGTGGGGCCTTGGGGTTTTTTTGTTGTTGTTCCCTCGGTATCCGCAGCCCCTAGGACTGCCCTGGCATGGTAGGTGGGTGACAGGTCCGCCTGTGCTTTGCGTGGCGGGTGGAGTGCGGTGGAGCTGGGGGCAGGAAGCTGATGTGTGTGCTGTATGGAGCTTGGCTCCATTTCCTTGCGCTCAGATGGGGCCTCAGTTCACTCCGCTCTAAACCGGGGGCAAGTGGCCCTGCCTCGCTCGGACCACGGGCCGCAGAAATGCCGGAAACCTCGCCCAACGCTCCTCTCTGGCGCCGGCTTCCCGGACCCCAGCCCGGCGCCCCGGCGCGGCCCACCCGGTAGCCTTCCCTTCGCGCCCCAGAGGCCCCGGGTTCCTCGCGCCGTCATCCCCGCGGCGTGCGGGAGGCGAGAAGGTGCCCGCGCGCCCCGCCCCCGGCGGCTCCCGAGGACGAACGCACGCTCGTTGCCATGGAGACGCGGCGGGGCGGGCCGCCGCCCTCCTGGCCCCGCGCGCACGCGCCCACGGCCACGGCCACGTCCCGCCGCGAGAGGGGGCGGAGCGAGCGTGCGAGGCGGGCGCGCGCAGGCTCCGCGACCGGACCCGGAGCCGCCTGCGCGTCGGCGTCCGCGGCGGGTGGCGGCTGAGGTGAGCCCGGGCTGAGGGGCGCGTTCCCGCCGGGCCGCCTCCCGCGCGCCGGGGGCCTGGGACCTCCGTCCGCCCGGGCGCGGCCCCCTCCCTCCGTGACCCCCGCGGCCCAGGCCGCTCCGTGCACCTCGACTCCCTGACCCCTGGCCCCGGCCGGGTCCGAGGGCCCTGAGCGCGACCTTGGGCCGGCCCTGCGCCCCCGGCCGCTGGTCTCGGCTGCGGGGCGGGCCGGTCCCGAGGCCGCTGAGCCGGAGGGTGGGGCGGGGACGGAGGCAGGAGCTCCGCCCGTCCCCCCGAGCCCGCCGCGCGGCTGCTGCAAACTTTGGCGCCCCCGAAGTTAGGGAGGCGCCGGGGTCCCCTGAGGTCGCGGCTGAGGAGAAGGGGGCGGGGCCCAGGGGCGCCCGGAGCGGAGGCCTCGCCGCCCGGCCCGCCCGCCGCGGCTCCTTTAAGGGCCGGCGCCGCACGTGAGCGGCTCCAGGAAGCCGCGCGCACCACCGCCTGGGACCCGGCACCGGCAGGCGACACCCGGCGGCCCGGGCGGGGCCGGCTGCCCAGCTCAGAGCAGGAGCCTTCCGGGCCGGGCGCGGGGCTGCAGCCCTCCTCGCAGGCGTCTCTTCGAGGCGCAGGGGACTCCGTGAGGCCGAGCTGGGCTTCTCATTGCCCCGAGGGGCCGTGGTGGGGAGGCCGCCGCAGCCCCGTGATGGGGGCGCGGCTCCTCCGGAGGCCCCCGGTCAGCGGTCCTTCTCTCTGCCCCCAGCACTGGAGCGCCTGGAGCCCTGGGTCGCAGCCATGAGTTGCTGAAAGGGAGCCTGGCTTTCCAGGTGAGCCCCCCAGCCCTGTCCTCTTCTCGGTCCGCGCCCCCCCCCCCGCCCCTCGTCCCAGGGGAGGGGGGTGGATTCACTTTGCTCCCCGCCTTCCCTTCCCCTGCTGATGGGAGCTCTGGGCCCTCAGGCTTATTCCCCCCTTTCGGAGCCCTCAGGAGGGAGAGGAAGAGGAAGGTGGGGACTGAGTTGTTTGGGGGAGACGGGGAGTGTTCAGCCCGGAGAGGAGGCCAGACCGGGGCGGTCACTCCCCAGGCAGCTGGGAGAGGAGACACAGCGCTGGGCTGAGGGCCTGGGCTTCAGAGATGCCCAGGGAGGGGGAACGCCTGGGCTTTCCTGGAAATCCTGTCACTGGGAGGACAGGGAAAGTGGAAAAGGCGGAAAGAGGCTGCCGCCCGCCCTCTGCCTGCATGGTGGTCCAGGTCTGTTTGGTCCCGGTGTGACCTCCCCCGTCTCTTTCTCTCTGCGCACTGACTTCCCACCCGGCCCCGCCTGGTTCTGAGGACTCAGGAAGTAGTGCCTTTGAACATGTCGACAGTGGCTGGCCTCTAGTTCAGTACTTAGTGGACGATCCGTCATCATCGTCGTCAAAGAAAACGGACGAGCAATCCAACCAGGGGCCAGCTGAGCAGGACAGGGAATGGCGGCCAAAAGACGGCGCGGCTGTGGGGGCAGGACCCGGTGGGTGCGAGCACCCGTGGGAGACGCCACAGCATCCGGACATTCGCTGTTCTTCTCTGTGAGGGAGGAAGCCCTGTGTGCAGCTGACTCCCAGACAGTGTTTTCAGCAGAAGGTTTGACACACAGAACCCACAGGGAGCAAGTGATTCCATAGAGCTAAGTTTTCCTTTGGGTTCAAGTGTTGACTTTCAGCGCACCCAAAACTTTTAAATTTTAAATATGTGGGCTCACATGCTTCCCTTCCTCTTTAAACAGTCTTCTCAGTACTGTGACCCCCCCATCCCCCACCCCCACTCAGGCCACTCCATTCAACAGGGGGGTTAGGACTCTGCCCCCAGCGGGGTGGCGGGCTGGGCACACACACCAGCTTCTGGGGTGCCCCTGGGCCTGTTCCTGGATAGTTCGCCCCTCCCGTGTGTTTCCCCCTGAAATGAATGACTTTATTGTTTGTATTGTAGGAACAGGAGGAATGGGGAAAGGCCAGTGGGGAGGAGGGAGAATTGTCAGATAAATGACGTACACACAAAAAAGGAAAAAAGACACCCCCACACACACACACACACCCCATCCCAAGATGACTTTTAAAAAAATATATATTTTATTGACTTTTTACAGAGAGGAAGGGAGAGTGATAGAGAGCTAGAAACATCGATCAGCTGCCTCCTGCACACCCCCCACTGGGGATGTGCCCGCAACCCAGGTACATGCCCTTGACCTGAATCGAACCCGGGACCTTTAAGTCCGCAGACTGACGCTCTATCCACTGAGCCAAACCGGTTTCGGCTGGCCAGCACTCTTCCTCCACGGAATGAACAGCTCCGGCCAGGGACCAGTAACTGTTGCTTCTCCCTGTTGTGTGTGTCCCCTTCAGCAGCCTTTTCCTACTCGAGGCTTCTAATCTGTGGGCTGAACCTTATTAGCACGGGGCTCAAGCCTGGGAAGCGCAGCCTGAGTTTTGGTTGTTTTGATCTGTGTCCCCTGGTTCTGGGTGGGTGAGCTTGCTGGATAGCAAGATTCCTCAGGCCCGACGATGTGCTTAGCAAAGGAGAATGTCCTAAGAGAGTCTCTTTCTGGGGCACATCCCTCCCCCCATCCCGTTTGTTCCTCGTGGTTTCCCTGTTTGTTAATAAGTGTCTGGCCCCTGGCACTAGCTTGTCCTCTGCCTGGCAGTGGCCCATGAGGCTTGGGGAGGCTGGGCAGGTAGTGTGGCTTAGCTGGGGGGAGGAAGAGGCCAGGTGGGGGAAGGGCAGGGTGACTGAGGTCTGGTTCAACTCAGGGGAGGCTGGCCAGGGCTGGGAGCATGTCCCCGCTGACTCACTCTTGGGCCCTCTATGACTCAGTCTCCCCAGGTATGACCAAGGCTGCCAGCTGACGGGCACAGCAGCCCTGAGAGCCTCAGTGATTGTGGTTAAGAAATAGGGAGGCCTATGGCTTCAGTCATCCTTTGTAGCTCCCTTCTAGGTCACTCCATGGGTAAACACCTCTGGCCACTCCTCCTCTCCTGGGTCAGAGCACCCAAGGCAGGGCTGGGGTTGGGCCAGAACAGGCTGGCGGGCAGGTGGGCACACTGGTCAGAGCAGGCTGCCAGCCTCTCTCCTGTCTCCTCTGCAGCTGCCGTGGGGTGCGGCGTCGGGGGCGCAGAGCCATGTCGGACCTGCTGCTGCTGGGCCTCATTGGGGGCCTGACTCTGCTGCTGCTGCTGACCCTGCTGGCCTTCGCCAGGTACTCCGGGCTGCTGGCCGGCGTGGCAGTGAGCGCCGGCTCACCCCCCTTCCGCAATGTCACTGTGGCCTACAAGTTCCACGTGGGGCCCTACAGCGAGACGGGCCGGCTGTTCACCGAGAGCTGCAGCGTCTGCCCCAGGCTCCGCTCCATCGCCGTCTACTACGACAACCCGCACATGGTAAGGGGCCTCCTGCTCTGTGGACGGGCGTGGGGCAGGGCTGGTTGGGGGAGGGGCATGTTGGCGTCTAAGGAAGTGGTGGGAAAGTCTTCGAGTTGGCCCTGCAGACCCCTCCTCTCTGAGCTCAAATCTCCCTCCAGATTTAGCCTCCTAGGAGTGTGCTGGTTTCCTCTTGCCCAGGCCCCATTCCCCTGGCCACCTATGGGCCTCAGAGTGCAGGGGACCATACTGCTAGGAGGTCCTAGCCAGGCTTTCGTCCGCTGCCCCCTCCCTTCTGTCCCCCCTTCCCTCACCCCCATTTGCGGCCAGTGCTCTAAGGCCAGGCCTTCAGATCCTGCCCTCCGTTTGGGGTCATGTCTGTCGTGATATTTCTGTGCCTTCCCTTTCTCAGTTCCCCTGCTGTGGTGCTAGGTTCTCAAGGGCTAGGCTCTGGGCGTGGGCGTGGGACTTGGAAATCCCCCCCCCCCGGTCATCCTGGCGACCCCTGACCTGTTTATAAGGCATCGCTTGGGATATCAAGCTGCCTGGTTTGGAGAGGGCCTTGGGGGCAAGTGGAGCCAGGTGAGCTGCCCAGAATGTCTGAGATGCTGGGGTCGGGGCCTAAGCCGGCACCCTGTGGGCGTCCAGCTGCATACAGCCTGCTGTGAGTCAGGGCTCGCCAATGTGGCCTCCTGCAATGCCAGGGGCGGTGCTCACAGCTGGCAGCCCTGCGAAGGGTTCCTCAGCCTCCAGCTCTGAGCCTTGGCAAACCAGGCGTTTGGAATCCCCGGCTCTGGTTTCCTTGCCTGGAGAGCTCACGTGGGCAGGGCCCACAGCTCCCCATGGTCTCCTGCCCAGGCCTCACTGGGGCACTCAGTCAAAACAAGGGTGTGCTGGCCCTCTCTGTGCCTGCTTCTGCTCACGCCCGCGCCCTGGAGATGAGCAGACGGGGCCCCGCCCCCAGGAAGCTTCCTGCGGTTGGCAAGTCAGGCTCACACAAATGAATCTCCAACAAGGCGTGGGGCTCCGTGCCCACAGAACTCTGCCTGTGGGTCTGGAGGAGGGTGCCTCTCGTCTGCCAGGGAGGCCCAGGGAGGTGCTAGATTTCAGCTGGGCCTTCTGCCCGAGTGGGATTCTGCTCTGCCGGGAAGGGCCTCGTGGCTAAGGGAACCACAGCGGCCAGGGCCTGCAGACATAGGGTGACTGGGGAAGCCGCAGGACACAGGTGGGGCGTGGAGAAAGAGGTAGGAGGGTTCGCGGGGCCAGGCAGGGGAGGAAAGGTTCAGCACAACCTGCCATCTGCAATTTATTAAGCTGCTGGGTGCCAGGTGGAGGAAGGAAGGAGACAAGGCCGAGAGGCCAGGGAGGGCATTGGGCTGGTCTCTGGTGAGAGGTGACATAAGCTGGCTGAGGGATGAGTAGACATTAAGGTTTTGAGGTCGCACAGCTGGGTGCCGGCAGTAAGTGGGAGTCAAAAGCACTGGGACCAAAATGAGAGGGGGCAGGCCCGTGGAAAGCTCCTGGGCAGGGTGCCCCACCCCCACCCTGCCCGAGCCTCTCTCGGGTAAGTCCTGGCCCCTCCTTCCACACCTGGCCTCTGTCAGCCCTCGGGGGAGGGAGGGGCGTCTGTGGCTTCCTCTTTCCTCGGGCTTGCCCACCTGTTCCCTGAGCAGCACGCTGCCTCCCTCGGTTGGAGGGACTCATTCCAGGAGGGGAAGTGGCCAGGCAGCAGGTTACCTGGGGTACGTACTGGAGGCTGGTCCAGGGAAAAGTGAGATAGGAGAACCCTGGCTCGTGGCACTCTCCTGACCCAGCAGCCACTGCTTCCAGGCAGCCCACCATACCGCTGTCCCGGAAGTGCGGTAGACCCCGTGGGCCGCCAGTGCCAGTTTGGGGACCATGGCCTGGGAATGTGTCCTGGGAAAATAGCTTCGAGGCCAGCATTTGACAATTCTGGTTCGTCTCTTCACTGTCCTGCTGTGTGGTTTTGGGCATTTACATAACCTCTCTGAGTCTCCATTTCCTCATCCGCAGAGAGTGTTAAAATCCCTGCCCTCATAGGTAGGCTGGCAAGGGATAAAGTAAGTGGCACCGGTGAGGCATTCACCCCAGCACCTGGTCCTCAACAGATATTTAACAGCAACAATAAAAAGGGTGGGAAAGACATGCTAATTAGGTGTGCTGCGTGGTTAGGCTAAGTCCTGGTGATCCAGGTCTAAACCATGGCCCAACTAGACATTGGCCAGCACTGAGGATGGTCAGAGTGGCCCCTCTGGTCCTGTCCCTCCCAGGCCTGGGTCACTCTAGGACAGTGTTTTTCAACCTTTTTTGGGCAAAGGCACACTTGTTTCATGAAAAAAATCACGAGGCACACCACCATTAGAAAATGTTAAAAAATTTAACTCTGTGCCTATATTGACTATATATAAAGTAATTCTCTTGAATAGGAATCAAATAAACACAAAGAAAGTATTTTATAATTACTTTATTATGAAATATTAAGTAAACAAAATAGTGAAAAATTATAAAATTCTTGTCTTGTCTGCACCTACGGCACACCAGGCAACATCTCGCGGCACACTAGTGTGCCGCGGAACAGCGGTTGAAAAACCTGCTCTAGGATACCTGCATCCCCATTCAGAGTTGGGTCACCTCCTGACACCTGGTTGTGTGTCAGGGACGCTTAGTCCCCACCTATCTGGGAGCTGGCACAGGTCCTAAAAGCTCCAGGGAAGCCCGGACCTCCAGGAGTTCATGGCTGTCACAGGCCCTGACGCCACAGGCCCATGCTGGTGGTGCTTCGAGGAGACTGCAGAGCAGGTAGCAGGAGTTGAGGTGCTTCTCTCGGGTCACTCGTCATTTTTTGTTTCAAATGAACAAATATTGTGCCACCTGCTGGGCACTGGGGCACCACGGGGACCAGGGAGCCCCTCTCGGTGGAGGGTGTCGGGAGCCTGGACAAGAGGTCCCTCCAGTCAGTCCTGAGGGAGCCTGGGAACCCAAGCATTATGCTCCCGGCTCCCCCCTCCCCCCGACTGGCTGTCAGCTGAGCTGTTTGAGTGCCCATCCCCTCTTTCTCCCTCCCCAGCTCAGCCCAGCGGGAGCCAGACCCCCTGCTCTGTGAGCATGGGGAGGAAGGGAGACTATTTCAGGCTCTGACAGCCAGTCGGCAGTGAGGGACCCCGTGGAGAGCTGGCCACCTGCTGCGGATGCTGCCCAGCCCCTGAGGTGTGGACTGACAGCTCCCTAGCCACGCCCCTTCCAGGCCTCAGCTGGCCACGGGGAGGCCGGTTCCCAGACAGGCCTCACCTGGTCTGGCTGTGGGCCCAGGAAGTCACACAGGAAAGGGCTGGCTGTTTGACCTCCGCCAGCTCTCTGGGCCTCAGAAACAGCATTGGTAACAGTGTTGACTGCACAGTGCTGCTTATTTTATTTTTATATATTTTTATTGGTTTCAGAGAGGAAAGGAGAGGGAGAGATAGAAACGTCAACGATGAGAGAGAATCATGGATCAGCTGCCTCCTGCAGGCCCCCTACTGGGGATCAAGCCTACAACCTGGGTATGTGCCCTTGACTGGAATTGAACCTGGGACCCTTCAGTCTGCAGGCCGACATTCTGTCCACTGAGCCACACTGGCTAGGGTGGCACAGTGCTGTTTCGAAAAGGAGCTGATGCGTGGGAGACAGCAGCTGGGGCGGGTGGGAGCACCTTGTCAGGTACACCTGGTGCTAGGATTATGCCTGGGGGTGAACAATGCCCTGGCACACTTCTAAGTGGGAGTGCCCAGAAAGCACCTGGATCCCACTCTGGAGATGGGCGTCCTGCGGACTCTGCTCCCCTCAGCCTGAAGTTCAGGTCCTCCCCTCTGGCCCAGGGTCTGCATTGCCCAGGTCCTTCCTGACTAGTGCCCAGGGCGGTGGGACCTGTGGGGCTTGGTGTGTTGGCCTGTAGGACTCAGGAGGGTAAGTGAGTCCACGGTTCGGCCTCCGGCCTTGGGCAGGTGCGGCTGTTCTGCCCCCCTGGGGGCGCCCATGCAGGTGAAGGCACTGCTCCTGCTCTTGTTACCCGGGGCAGCTCTGAGCTGGGTAGGCTAGCCAGGGAGGAGTCAGGCAGGCGCCTGGGCCTGGGCATGGCAGACAGTGAGGTTATGGAGGTGTGGGCCTGTGGCTGACCATGTCTGCTGAACCCAGGGCCTGGGTTTGGCCTGAGCCAGAGGACACCATTTTGCTGCCCAGTTCCTGGAGATAATCCATCTTGTCCAGTTTCCAGACGCAGTGAGGTTTCTAGGCAGCCTCTTCATCCTGGCCTCTCGGGGTCCTGGGAGGCCTCTCCAGGCCCGAGAGCTTTAAGGTTCAGGCAGGGCCCCCTCACATACTGACTCAGGAGGCCTCACAGCCCAGAGCAGAGGCTCTGCTGTTCTTGCTTTCAGGGCAGGTCGTCCGAATGGCCTACCTTCACCCAAAGTGCTGGGTCCCCTACCTTGGCTCCCTCTCCCCGGTGCGTTCCGTGCCGGTGCTGGTTCTGTCCCAGGTACCCAGAGAAATGCCTGTTACAGGGAGGAAGGGAGCAGACAGGTGGGATTGGTAAGCCCAGGCTACCTCAGGTGGGTGGGGTTCTGTCCATCAGGACATTCCCACCTTCTGAGTCCTTTTCCACCTCGGTGGCCATACCCCTGGAGGCGGGCCTGGCTGGCCGGGGAGGCAGGGAGCCCCTCTGCTCCGAGACCACCCCTGCCACTTACCAGCTGGTCTTAGGGCCTGTCTCACCTCCTTGCTGGTGCTGGTTCCGCTTCCTCCCAGCCCCAGCTCAGTATGGGGTACTTGGCAGGAGGTGAGCTTGCTGAATAGCCTCTGAGTCGCTGCCAGGGCAGGTGAGGGCAGTGAGCTCCTCACTTGTGGAGCTGAGAGGGTGCTTAGGCCGGAAGGGAGCACCTGTGCCCCAAACGCCTCCAGGGTTTCAGGAGCCTCGTCTCCTTATTGGCTGCTTTACTGGCCTGTGCGAGGAGTTCCTCCTTTTTTCTTTTCTTTTTTTACTTAAAAAAAAAATGTATTTTATTGATTTTTTACAGAGAGGAAGGGAGAGGGATAGAGAGTTAGAAACATCAATGAGAGAGAAAAATCGATTAGCTGCCTCCTACACATCCGCTACCGGGGATGTGCCCGCAACCAAGGTACATGCCCTTGACCAGGATCGAACCTGGGACCCTTCAGTCCCCAGGCTGATGCTCTATCCACTGAGCCAAACCAGCCAGGGCTTTCTTTTCTTTTTTGAAAAAAATAAGTTTATTGATTTCAGAGAGGAAGAGAGAGGGAGAGGGAGATAGAAACATCAATGATGAGGAGACTCTGGAGTAGGACGAGGAAGGACATTCCAGGCAGAGGAACTACAATAGCTTGCGCAGAGGCGGTGAGCATGGGAGGCAAAGCATGTGTAGGGAGTTGCACACACTAGTGCTATGTGGGCCTGTGTGGGGTGTGATGGGAGAGGAGGCTGGCAAGGTGAGCCGGGCCAGAGCCTGGGTTTGTCCCTCCTTCTGCTACTCAGACATGCAGTGGGCACCTGCCCAACTGGGCTCTAGGCCCTGAGGGCACCTCGGGATGCAGAAACGGTGCCAGTTGAGTGTGCGGGCAATTCTGGGCAATGTCGTGTGGACCAGTGAGATGGCCTTGCGTGTTAGGCTCGAGTGTCATCCTGGAGGTGAGTTGGGAACCGTGCGAGTTCCAACGAAGCAGGAGTATCACAAACGTGCTGGTGCCTTTTGGGGGCTGAGGAGGATGTAGAGCTGCTGAAGTGATTCCAAAAAAGACCCTCGGACCCAAACCAGGCAGGCCAGGGGTTGCGAGAGATGAAGGGTCCTCCTGTCCAAATGTCCATGTACCTTATGGTGGATCTTTCTTTTGTCCCGCCCAGGCTGCTGGGGTGGGGAATGGGAAGGCCAGCTTTTCAGCAGGAACCGACCCTGCCGAACCTCGTCTTTCGGGCCTGCCTCCTCTTAGGGTGTGAAGTGGGGCCGTGGCACCATCTAGAGACAAGATTTGGAACTGCAGGGATCTCCAGCCTGGGTGGGTGGGAGGAGCCTCAGGCCAGAGAAGTGACTGCTGCTAAGAGGACTTGATGTGGGGAAGAGTTTACAGCAAAGTGTTGGTGTGGGAGGTGGGGTGCCATGAGCCTCCCTACGGCTCCCTGAGAGGGTGTTTGTACCTGAAGGATGGGCAGGGAGGGGGGACGTGTTCATAGGTTTGGGTGGATGGGCATTCTAGGCCAAGGCTCACTTACCTGGCCTGTGTCATCGCTGCTAATAACCGACAGCGGTCATGGCGCATTTGCCGAGTGCTGGCCCAGCCTCGGGCCTCAGGCGGAGGCGTTAGTATGACAGCTCTGTACGTGGATATCAGGGGACTGGGTTCCAGGAAACCAAGGAACTTGCCCGGAATCACATGACTCAGGACTCACGCCCGGCCTGCCTCTTTCCAGAGGTGTGGTCCCGACCACTGTACCCTGCTTCCTGCCACTAACGCCCTGAGCCAGGCTTAATGCCCTGGGACTCAAGGGCAGCAAGGAGCCAGGGCCGCAGGGAGCCGGAGTGACCCCCAGGAACTGCGTAGAGGTGAGAGCCAGGCAGAGGGCGCCGCCCAGGGCAGGCTGCGTAGCCAGGTAGAAAGGCGGAGCAGAGCTGAGGGCCCAGGGTTGTTGACAGGGCTTGGAAAGGCTGGAGAGAAGGCCGAGGCGAGAACAGGTGACAGTGGCTTCACGGTGCTGAGAAGGCGGGCTGGGAGAGGACCAGGTGAAGGCAGAGTGTAAATGTAGGGGCCAGCGGGCCCTGTGCATCCGGGACCAGGAGCGCCCGGATTGAGAGCTCGCAGTCTGCGGTCAGTCTCTGAGTCAGAAACATATATGCCGCTGGGGGCTCAGTCTGAGGGCGGGGGCAGACTCAGTGGCCGGAGGAGAAGCAATTGCTGGGCCTTGCAGGCCTGGAATCAGGCCTAGGAAGTGTCAGGGATTCACACAGGCACCCCACTGGCGGGTTTGGTGGGAGACGGGGGAATGCTGGTCCCAGGGGCCCAGAAAGACTCAGAGGGACCAGCCACCTCTGGCCTAGCCAGGAAGGGGCAGGGCCTGGGCCGGGCATGGGCTGAGAGGAGGCCTGGAGGCTGAGGGAAAGGGGAAGGGCTCTCACACGTTTCATCAGCCCACAGTTCCACGCACTCTCACTTCCTGAAGCCCCTCTACAGCCAGCACGGGGCCTGGTGTGCTTCTGGAGGAATGTGGAGGGGTCCTGCAGCAGGGTGCCTCGGGCCGGGGCCATGAGCGGGTCCCGGCAAGAAAGCAGTGCTCTCCATTCTGGTGTCTGGGGCTGCATGGTCTCCTGGAGCTGGTGATTCTGCCAGGCGTGAACTAGCACAGAACCCAGGACTGAGGGCCTCCTTCCTTTGCTCAACACAGACACCCCGCTCTCCCTCCCCAGGTGCCCCCCGAGAAGTGCCGCTGTGCAGTGGGCAGCATTCTGAGTGAAGGGGAGGAGGCGCCCTCCTCTGAGCTCATCCAGCTCTACCAGAAATTCGGCTTCAAGGTGTTCTCCTTCCCGGCACCCAGCCACGTGGTGACAGCCACCTTTCCCTACACCACCGCCCTGTCCATCTGGCTGGCTGCCCGCCGCGTCCATCCTGCCCTGGATGCCTACATCAAGGTGAGACAGGCCTGGAGTGTGTGCGCCGGAGCAGTGGGTGCAGGCAGTACTTTGGGGGGAAGCCAGGGAGGACTTGGCAGCTGGGAGGGCAGCACCCTGGGGTCCTGTGGGGCAGGTGCCTGTGGGGCGGGAAGATGAGCAGAGGCTGCTGGCATCTCTTCTCGATGTCCAAGACCTTGTGGGCACCGGAGTATCTGCTGGGAGCATAGGGAGCTCGTGCAGAAACCTGGCCTGGCAAGTTCAGCTGTGCTTGGACCAGAGACGTCCTCAGTGCTCAGCGCCCACTCCAGACTCAGAAGGGTGGACAGGCCTCCTGGCCCCATCGTGCTGGAGGCCTGCGGAGCAAGGGGCCTGCGGTTCCCAGTGGCTGGCAGGCCGGGGTCCGTGTGTTGGCTCTGGCCCTGCCTCTTATGGGGTCATGTCCCCGTTTCTTGTGCCCAGGACTGGGCCTCGTCTCCTTCAGTTCCTGGTCTGCTTGTTGGCAATGCTGGCGGACCCGTCTGAGTGGAGGAAGCCAGAGAGCTAGCCGCCAGGAGATTTTTTTACGTTCCCTGTTGCACATCCTTCTTTCCCTAAAACATTTCAGGAACTCGGGCGCTAGGGCAGTGAGTTTGGGCTTGGAAGCCATTGCCTAGTCCCCCGTCCAGCTTGTGTCTATGAAGGTGCTGTGCTGGACACGGTGGGAGATGCTGTGCATGAGATAGGCATGTATAGAGAGGTGTGAGATAGTGTCAGACAGGAATGGGAGGCACAGCACAGGAAGAGCAGGGTGAGAAAGGCAGGGACCAGCGTGGACCGAGTGGCCAGGACAGCCTCTCGGAGTAGTAACCTGGGGCACAATTCTGGAGGAGCCCTTGGGGAGGGAGGAGAGGGCTCTGAGCCCAGGGACAGGGGAGGGGGCATGGAGAGGCTGTGGGAGGCGCTGCAGTGTTCCAGCAGCAGAGTAACCTGGTCTGGGCCGGAGGGACGGGTCCTGGCTCGGGGCTGTGGCGGAGTCTAGTGTGCCCGGGCTTGGGCTGGCTGTGGCTCTAGAGAGGCAGCCGAGGTGGATACTCACTGTCCTTGGGGAGCACTGGGGGACCCGGGTGAATGGCATGTTGGGGAGGAAAGGGTGTGGGAGGAGTCAGCAGGAATGTGAACTCAATGGGTTTGCAGGGACCTGGTGGCTTTGTTCTCCAGAGCAGCTTGGCTGAGGGACAGGGCCTCTGTAATGGAAATGGAAGCTCAGACCAGCCGGGCTGAGGGGGCAGTCCAGGAGTGGGGCCTGGTTGACCGGCCATGGCCTTGGTGCTCAAGAAGAGGAGCAGCAGGAGGGCAGCACACAAGTGTCTTTTGGGAGCTGGGGTGGCAACCGAGAGCCTGGGGGAGGGGGCTTGCCTGTGGGATGGGCCAGAGGCTGAGGGTCGTGAGGGTGCGGCAGGAGCTGGGGGCCTGGCTGGTGGTCCGGGCAGGAAGGGAGAGGCCAGTGCCCAAGGCCGAAGCCCGTCTCCTGGGTGGGGACCCCCAGGGAGGCTGGTGGTGGTGTCCCCAGCTCTGTCTGTGTCATCCTCCACCTCAGGGCCAGTCTGGAGCCGACCTCTGGCAAGAGGCTTCCTGGGTCCCGGCCTCAGAGCAGGATGCGTGGCATGTGGCGAGGTGGCGAGCAACTCCTCCACCAAAGCCTTTTCCTGGTTCGGGTGTATTTTTAGACGCCTTTGTCCAAATTCCCCGGCCCCTGACAGCTTCACAGGTTGCCTGGTTTTGACGTCACCTCTTTGATGAAAGCTCTTCCTCCTCTCTCCGCCAGCGCCGCCCCCTCCTCCCCTTGTGGGAGCTGTCAGCTGTGCTCTGGGTTTGGTTCTCCTGGGGTGCGGCTGGAGGGGGCGGGACTCAGTACACCCTCTTTCTTGCCTGGGACAGGGAGTCTGGGGAGGGGGAGCAGGGGGCTTCTCCAGGGTGTCTGAGGCGCCTGGGCCTGGCCGCCAGCTGGGGGAGATGCGGCTCCCCACAGGGAGGAGTGGCCAGGTGCTCTGCCGGGTCTGGAGGCGGAGGTTCAGCCTGACCTGGTGTCTCGGGGAACCAAGCCAGTGGCAGATGAGGAAGGGGCTGGCTCTGCTTTGGTCTCAGCCCGCAGTGGACAGGGAGGTCCTGTGTCTCAGCCCAGGAGACGGGAGAACCTAAGGCTCCCTCCCACACTGCCCTCGTCCCGCCGCTCTGGGACCAGGGAGAGGAGGCTGCTAATGAGACTCTGGCTCTTCTGGCTCTCAGCCCTGACAGCTGGCTGCCTTTAATCGTGTGTGTGCGAGAAAGAGAGAGAGAGAAAGAGAGAGCGAGCACTTGAGCACACACGCACACGCCCTTGTTCTCTGCCTCTCTGACTGCTCTCTGGGTCTGAGGCTGGGTCGTGGAGGTGCTTCCCGTGGAATGGCAGGAGTTTCTGTGTTAGGAGGAGGCAGGGTGGCAGGAAGATCTCAGAAGCCCTGGCCATTGCCGGGGGGGGGGGGGGGGGGCGGTGGACGGGACGGAGGGAGGGGGACCCAGGGCATGGGGGGAGGTAGGGCGTGAGCCTGGGGCAGGATTGGTCTCGTGGAACAGCGAGGGTCCTGGGGTCACTGAGGAGCCCAGAGAGAACCATTTGTCAGGTCTCAGGGTGTTCTGGGAGGATGGCTGGATCCATGTGGCAGCCCTGGCTCTCAGGCCGCCTTCCCCAGCCCGGCAGGCTAAGCTGGAGGGGCTGGGGCCTCGGCTGAACGCTGCGGGCAGCATGACTGCCAGTCTGTGGAAGATGCCAACTTTGTCAGGCTGCTCCATCCACTGGAGGCAGAGAGGAGGCCTCCAGGTCGGGAGAGAGCGCTCCCTGACCCTGGAGAGGGACCTGGTAACTGAAAGAGGGGGCTGGGCCTCCTTGAAATTGTAAGGCCACAGAGGAAATGAGGCCCAGGTGTCAGCCCAGAGCACTGGGAGAGGCCCCAGACCCCTCGCAGGTGGGTCCGCCTTCCTGAGAAGGTCAGGCACACGGAGCAGCCTGGAGGGAGTGGTGGGAGAGGCCCCTGAGCTCGGCCTGGCTCGGGGCATTGTCTGAGGGGAAGTGGTTGGCTGGGAAGTCAGCAGGCCCTGGAGGTCAGACACTGGCTCTTTCTCCATGGAATTGGAGAGGAACTGGAGAGTGCAGTACGCGGCCGACAGACTTCATTTGCATATTAGGTTTTCAGTTGAGCAAAATCCACTTACCCAACACCTCCAACATGCTACCAACTTTGCTCAGCTCTTTATATGCCTCGTCCTAGTTTAGCATGCGCCCAGCAAGATGCTCAGTTGCTGCTTGTTAAATGAATAACAAAAAAGGGACAGCTGGCTGATGGTGGGCAGGGACCCCGACCACAGTTCTCAGCCTGCTCTGGGGAGCCTAGGGTCTGTGCTGAGGTGCCCCTCGGCGGGATGCCGGGATGAGGGCTTAGCTCTGCCCCAGGAATTCAGGCCAGATGACCTTGGGAGCTTTTGTTTGGAGGAGAAAATGACTGCACTGGGGCGTGGAGAGGGCTTCCCTTATTAAAATAAAGCTTGGATTCCTTCCACATGAGCTCAGCAAAGGTGGCAGATGTGGAGAGAGGTGACCCCAGCGTTTACTCACGTTCACCCACTGCCAGGGCCATGCTGCTCCCCACGGGGTTTTTGGCCCGTGGTCTGGGAGGCGGTGGGAGCCAGGAGCAAAGGGCAGGAAGAGCCCGCTACCAGCAGGCACCATGAAGGGAGGCTTGGCAGCAGACACGCCCAGAAAGCCTCGTGTCCTTACCCTGAGTGAGGTGGAAGCAGTTCTGTCCCCGGCTCCCTCACTGCAGCTCCAGGGCCAGCTCACCTGCCGGTGTGGCCACCTGCTAACCGGCCTGCCCAGTCCAGAGCGGAGGGCGCTTGGCAGCGCCAGGACCTGGGGCCGCGTGATGAGCCCTGGCCTCTTTCTCCCCCAAAGCCCCCGCCACTGGCGTGGCCCTGCCTAGCAGGAGTGGGTGTGAGGGACGGCGGCTTCACAGGGACAGCAGAGCAGCCTCGGGGTGGGGTGGCCTTTGGGCTGAGCCTTGAAGGACACATAGTGGTCTCCAGCCGGAAGGCGGGCCGGACAGAGACACGGACATGGGCATGGCCTGGTACCTTGTGGCCTGAGACGGGAGAAGCAGGAGTTTGGGCCAGGAGAGGAGGCTGGGTGGCGTCTGAGCAGGTGAGCCTCAGGGACAGGACTGTACACGGGAAGGGGAAGAGCCAGAGGCCACAGCCGGGCTCTGAACGCAGTGAGAAGTTAGCTGAGAGGAGCAGGGACTCTACTCCCAGTCACCCCCCCAAGCGAGGAGGAGACCCCTGCCATGTCCCTGGATGCGGAGATGTCGGGGGGTGGGGGGCACAGGAGGCCAGGCCTCTCCGCTCTGTCAGCCTCTCTGGCTTCACCCCTCCCCCAGGACCAAAGCACAAAGCCAGCCTTTGCCGGGGCGGGCGTGGGAGCTTCCACTCTCAAAATACCAGCCTGGGTATGTGCGCTTGGCAGCCCTGCAGGACCCTGGGGGCTGAGGCTCGTCTGGGTGTGCTGTGGGCTGGGCGGTTACCAATCCAAGGGAGCCTCTTCCCCAGGCAGATGGCCTTGGGAAAAATCCTGTGCTCTTCTCCAGCCGCCTGGGATTCCGGGAGGAGGCTGGGCTGGCCCTCGAGAGCCGGGCAGCTCTGCCCTTCAGAGAGCCCTCCGACCGGGAGAGCCGCTGTCTGCTGAGGGTCAGGAGAGGGGCTTCCTGAGAGGCCAGAGGTCAGAGGTGCCACCTGAGATGAGACGTCAGAGCCTCCTCCTCCCACCTCCAGGCCTCCCTCTCCGCTCTTCCCCTCCTCCCCATCCCACTCACCCACCTGTCCTTGCTCTCTGGCACTTTCTGATTCCTCTGGCTCCCAGGTGCTCGGCTTCACAGCTCCATCTGCCCATCTGCACCGAGCAGCCTTCCTGCTGCTGGGTGATCAGTCAGCCACGTTGCATGGGCTTGTCCGGGCGGGGCGGGGCGGGCCCCGGTCCCTGACTGCACAGGCCTGCCCCAGAAGTTGGCAGCTGTCCTGGGGGGCTGTGGGCCTGCCCTGGCGCCCCTCGCACCTTTGGAAGGGAGAATGGTGGGGTCCCAGGACTGCGCCCCTAACTCCTTATGGGGCTCTCCCCCTTGCTCCCCGGCCAGAGCAGGGCTGAGATGTGGAACCTGGGGATGGCTTCCCAGCCCACCCAGGCTCATGGTGCTTAAGGGCTGGAGTCCCCTGCGCCTACTCAGAGCGAATCACCTCCCTGCTCCTCGGTGCCCCAGCCCACCCTGGTCTCTAGCGCCCCTGAGGCCCTCCCCATAGGCCGTGCCCGGGAAGCCGGGACCTGGGTACGGGGATATGAACAGAGGTGTAAATTGCATGGCACACTGCCGGCTCTGAGGTGAAAATGAAAAGTCTCAGGCAGCAGCAGCAGTGGGCACAGCGAGCGCCCACTCCCTCGCACTCCCCTTTCTCAGTCCTCCCAGGCTCTAGGTCACCCAGGGCTAGACTGGTCCCAAGAGAGCCTTCAGCTCTTCCTCCCATTGTACTTCCTGTCTGACTGATGCACAGAAAGGCACTGTGCTTTGGTTTCTTAGGGCCTTAATGTTTGGGGAAGTGTCTCCATTGATTCTTTTGGGGGTTTTCAAGTGTACAGTTGCCTGATCTTTAAGTAATGGTGTTTTATTCATTTTTCCCAATTCCTCACTTCTTTTGAGATCCTCTCTTTCGATCTCTTTATCTTACAGTTGGGGGATTGATCCAGAGAGAAGTCACCCATCCGTCAGTAGCTAGGCCACGGCTCCAGCTCCAGCCTCCATCTCGGCCCCTTCTGTCCTCTCCACCCTCGCTGGCAGCCCCTCTCTCTGTGTCCTTTGCCTGTCATTTTCAGAGCCTCGGGCCCTCCTGCTGCAGAGGGGAGGGGAGAGCTCCAAAGGCTTCTCAGGTTCTCCCGCTGTCACAGCAGCCCCACAGCCAGGCTTAAGTTCTTGGCCAGAGGCTGCTGGGAGGCCGGTGGGGGTGAGAGGGAGTGAGGGAGGGGGACGTTGGCAGAAGTTCCAGGGCAGAATAATAACAACGTGCCACATTCCGGCAGCCCTGCTATGCCTCCCCCCTCCTTAGCATCCCTTTGCATGTGCGGTACAGACCAGCTGCCTGAGGGGCCTCCTGGGCCGGAGCCCCCACTTGCAGGACGGCTGCCTGCAGGCGGTACGCGTGCTGTCTGTAATTAGCAATGAGCATGCCTCACTTCACCCAGTGGAGATGCCACCACCTCAGGTGCGATGCGACAGCTGTGTGCTGGCTGTGTGGCTGTCCAGCTGTCCAGCCTGGTGTGGATGGACGGGTAGGACTGAGCAGCTCAGGCTGAACTGGGGGGAAGAGGGGGCCAGGAGGTAAGGACCTGTGATTGGCTGGAGCCGGAAGAGCAGACCTTCTCCCCTCCTGGGCCTAGAGCTCCTGTAGGAGATGTGTGACCAGTCCTGGGCCTGCACCCAGCGCTCGTCCTTTGGGGGATTTGAGGTCACTTAGCTCTGAGCAGACTTAGCTTCTAGGTTGCCTGGGGTGGGATCTACCCTCACCTGCCCCCACCCTAGCTGAAGTAGAACGTTGGGTGAGGGTAGTTCAGGTAGTTCTCTCTCCCCTGCAACCTCCTCTCCCCTCAGCAGTAAGAACTTCAGGGGAGGACTGTGGGTCCGGCGGGAAACCTTGGCCCAGCATGCCAGGTTAGCCCCTTTGCAGGGGCCCTAAGCTGCGTGGGCTGAATGCCTGCCCCCAACTAGGAGGTGAGCACCCCCATCCAGGCAAGGAAGTGTGGTATGTCCCAAGGTAGCTGGGCAGTGGCACTGTGGGCCTGGGGCCACTGCTCTTTCCCTGTCTGCCCGCGCTCCTGCTGAGGGAGCCGGTGAGAGTGCAGGGGTGGGGGTGGGGAAGTGAGGTCTAGGACCCCCCCCCCCCCCCCGTGTCCCATGTCCCCTTTGTTTCTGCTTGTGAGAAGTCCAGGAGGGAGGGAACCCTGGAGGTGAGTCCCAGAGACTAGAACGCCTACGTCCAGTTTCCGGGGGCCCCTTGAGACTGTGTGTGGGAGTGAGTTGCCCTGAGTGGTGGCCTCATCAGATGGCCAGTGGCCATAGCAGGCACCCTGTCCCAGGGACGCTTCCTCAAACCTCTGGCCGTTGGGCTGTGGGAAGGGGTGCCCAGGCCGGGAGGACTTCAGGCCCCTTTCCCCAGCAGTGCCAGCCAGCGCGGCCCTGACCCCGTGTTCTTGGCTATTGGCAGTCTGTCTCCGAGGGCTCCCAGGGGCTGGCTGAGGGGAGGCGGCTGCCCTTGCCTTCCTTCACGATTGTCCTGTAGTCACCAGCTTGTGGACATGCTGCCTGGGCCGCAGCTCCTGCTGAGCAGCGAGGACCTGAGCACGGCCCCTCTCCCTCAGGCTGGGAGGGAAAGACCTCGTCCTCCGCCTGGTCACGTAGGGACAGGGCCTAGGGCTAGTCCTGTCCCGCCCCCTCCGCCCCCAGCTGCCACTGACTCCCTGCTGCTCAGTGGACACAGAGGCTGGGGACATTTCTCAGCCCGACCCTTGCCTGTGGGCCTGGGTTGGAAGTTGGTGCCTTTGTCTTCTTCAAGCCCCTGTGTCTGAATGGTGACAGGGCCCAGCATGTGTTAAAGTGACTTGGGGCTGAGCTCTTGGGGGTTTCAGTAAGCTCGGCACCTCCTGCCAATAGGGAGTGCCAGGGTCTCCAGGTGGTGGCTGGGCTCGGGTATGAGGCTGCCCTTCCAGAGGCCTGGGGCAGGCTTGGGCAGTTGGTGCGTCCTGTGTGGGACGCTGTGAGGAGGGAGGGTTGGGCAGGAAAGGAGGGGCTGTGTGGTCAGGCCACAGTTTTCTCTCCCTCCTCTGTCTCCCTGGTTCCTCTGTTCTCCCCAATGGCTTTGAGATGAAGGCGACGGCAGGGATGGAGGATGCAGTTTCCATGGCAACAGGGCTGTCCACAGCCAGGCAACTTCAGAGCCCGGCTCTCCGGAGGAGGCAGATGCGCAGAGCAGCCACCGAGCTGCCTCCTGCCTGCCAATGAGGGGGATGGCAGAGCAGGTGGCAAAGGTGGCTGCCTGGCGTTGCCTACCCTGGTGCCCAGCTTAGAAAGGAGGGTAGAAAGAGCACTCTTCCTCTTAACGTCCCCATTACTTCCTGAAGGGAAGCTATGTAGGCTCAAGTGTAGGCAGGGGCAGGGCTCCACTATTCTTAGTTTCTGGGAGAGCACAAGTTCTGGTTCCAGGGGCACCTCCAAAAGCCAGGCTGCCAGGTGACTGATGGCCACTAAGGCATTCCCTGTGGGCCCTCTGAATGCCCAGGGCATGGGCTGCTGGGGAAGGCCACGTCCTGGTTGGGTCCGGGGCCCTTTTCCCTTTGCTTCCCTCTGGCTGCCAGGAAGGGACCGGGACCTCCTCAGGAGCCACCCGGCCTTGGTGACGGCCCATTTCACCCAGAGGGGTGCGTTCAGGTTTGGCCGATGCCCGCCCCGAGTGCTGGCATTGGAAGGGTCCCGAAGCCTGGCCGCTCCTGCTGCCTGAAGTGTCCTTGCTCTGTCCCCTCCTGAGGGGCCAGGGCACAGTGTGTGGGCGGATGGAGAAGCCAGGCAGCCATCCCTGTGCTCAGCGATGGGAGGAGCTCGGGGCATGGCCCGTGAGATGGTCCAGAGGGCACCCAGGTTGGCAGAGAAGATTGGCTCCAACTATTAAAAACAGTGACTTTCCTTCACTGGCCCTGGAGGAGGCAGGGCTCGGCTGTCCCATTCTGCGTTTGAGCGCAGGAGGACGCAGGACACAGGCCCTCCCGGGTGCTCTCAGCCTCGCTCCCCCCTCTCCCCTCTTCGCGTTCTTTAAGGGAGGGGGCTCCTCGGCCTGGGCTCGGCCAGCAGGCGGACACGAGGAGTCCTGGAGTGGCTTCTGCCCGCCGGCCGCCGGGTCTCTCATTACCGCTGAGTGGAAGGCTCATTGCAGAGCTCATGGCGAGAGCCGGCAGGCGCTATAAATAGCCATGTTGTGAAGGCTGGGGGGTGAGCAGTGGAGGGCAGGAGCCTCTAGTCTTCTCCGTGGTAATCGTGCTCCATCGCAGGAAGGGGCGGGCGCAGGAGCAGGATGCACTTGGCCCTGTCCTGGTCTCTTCCCGCATCAGGGCACTCAGGCATCTGTCTGTGCCCCTTCCACCCACACCGAGGGCTGGGGAGTCTTGGGCCTGGGTGCAGGCAGAGGGGAGGGGAGAGCCTGTCCCAGAACTTGGGGCCCCTTAGGGAGTTGGGGTAATGTCTGCTGTTAGATCTACTTGTCCTGCCTGCCCCTCCAGCCTAGAGTCTGGCTCCTCCCCCTCGGCTGACAGTCTGAGCCCCGGTGCAGGACAGCCTGGGACAGTTTCAGAGGCTGGCATGGACCTGAATTTGCAGGGCAACGGGACTGGAAGGGGGGCTTAGGCCCAGCTGCCTAGAGCCCTGACGGGGTTTGTAGGAACATGTCTGCAAGGACAGGGCACTGGCCTCTCCTGGTCTCTGTGGGTCACTCAGTATTGTCCAGGCTGGAGAAGAGGGCAGGGCGGGGGTCCTGGGATAGAAAGTCTGGCAAGTCAGACCTTGGCTTGGGCCCCTCGGGCCGTGGTTCGTGGGCCCCTGTCTGGTGTGAGGTGTGAGGCTGCTGGCTGAGACCAGTGTTTCTGGAACAGCCTCTGGTCCCAGCTCCCGTTAGAACTCTCAGGGACAGGCTCCTGGGCTCCCTCAGCATTTGTCCCAGGGCATTGCCCCAAGGACTCCTGGGTCCCTGGACCACTGCCCACCCCGGGGTGTGGGGTTGGGAACTGGAGGGAGATCGGGCCCCAAGGCAGAGCAGCCCTGGGGAGGAACGCACGGCAGCTGCTCGGGGACGAGGCACGCAGGGCTCACTCCTCTGTCCCTGTCTGGCAAGGAGCGGAAGCTGTGTGCCCACCCTCGGCTGGAGATCTACCAGCGAGACCAGATCTATTTCCTGTGCCCGCTGGCCCGGCAGGGAGACTTCTATGTCCCCGAGGTGAAGGCGACGGAGCGGAAAGGCCGGGGGCCTGCGGAGGCCAGCGATGCCCAAATGGACGGCACAGGTACGAGGGCCGGGGGGTGAGGTGGGCTGCCTGTGGGTGTCCAGGGGAAGCTTGGCCGAGGTGGAAGAAGACCTGCTCCCCGGGACCCACAGGCAGAGTTGGCTGCTCCCAGACACGAGGGCCACGTAGGTGTGGGTTCATACACGTGACCCCTGGCAGCGCAGATCCCGGATTCTGCCTGATTCCCTTCCGGGGCCACAGGGGAACCCTTGGAGGCGGCTGGGTGAGTGGGAGAGGCCGAGGTGCTCGGGAAAGTGCCATGGGGTGGGGCTCCTCGGGAAGGAGGTTGGCACTGGACCTGAAAGGTCAGTGGAACAGGTGCCCTCCTGCCCCCAGTCCACGGCCCCGCCCAGGCCAGCCGCTCTCCCCCTGTAAAAAACATCCAGAAAGCGTGCAGAGGGCAGGGGATCGGTGCCCAGTCCCTCCCACCAGAGCCAGCCTTCAGATCAAGGTCCAGGCCAGCGGTTGCTGCCTGTTCTCAGCTCACCCTCCTGTCATGACCTCTTATGACCTGTGCCCAAGGGTGAGGAGACCTGCTGGGAACATCCCGAGTGGTCTGGGTCTGACACTTGGTCCTGAATGTGGAGCCTCATGTGGGCCTGGAGGTCCAGCCTGTGGGGGTGGTGCAGGCTGGGAGGAGAGTGGCTGTCCCTCCTCACTGTCTCTTCTGGAGACTCCCTCTGTTGGTCCCTTCAGCAGCCAAGGTCACCTGGAGAGGCCTGTGCTGTCGGTGGGGGTGTGAGCGGCAGTCCACTCCCTGGGGGCTGCGTCCAGCACTGTTAGCTTCATCTGCCGCTTAATTACCCCCCCGGGGCGCCACTCCCACCCTCCTGGAGTGCTGGCAGACGCTCCTGTGCCCTGCCTGTGGACACAGGATGCGACTCAAGGTCAGCGGCCCAGGCAGTCCCAGGGCAGGAAGGGGCAGTGCCCTGACCTTCCTTCAACCCCTCTCTGCTGCCTCTCCCCCCGTTTTTTGGCCCACCCACCCAGCCTCCTTCCCAAACACCACCTGCCAGGGTACTGAAGAACTGCTTGGCATCCGCTGCAGCTGGCTACAGCCAGCTCCCACGCCCCTAGTGCCTGGGCCTGTCCTCCCACCAGCCCGCCCGCCCACCCCCTGATGTGGGGGCCAAGGGGTCTGCCCCCCTCTGACAGGGTCTGCCCTGATGCCAGGGGCCAGGGTGGCTCCCGTGTCGCCTGCCAGGTTCCTGGCACTTGCATAGCAATGCATGTTGGGAGCCTGGCCACCCAAGGCTCGGCCTGTCCCGCCTGCCTCCCCACTGGGCCCCCTGGGCTGGGAGGGAAGGGTTGATTAGCTGCCTGTGCCTGTTATTACATTGATGTATTATTCAGCTCCAGAGAGGCGATGCGATTCGATCTCCTTGCGGTGGCTGTGGGCAGCGGAGGAGGTGGGGCCTGGGGTGAAGGTGGCAGCGGATGTCACCATTCCAGCTGCCCTCTGCCCTCTGCCCTGACCCGCAGCACTGACCTGCTGCACTGACAGGGCAGAGGGAGCAAGGAGGAAGGGGGAGGGCAGCCTGCTGTGCACGCCTCTCCCTGCCCCGAATTAGCAGGGTCTGCCCTGATGCCAGGGGCCAGGGTGGCTCCCGTGTCGCCTGCCAGGTTCCTGGCACTTGCATAGCAATGCATGTTGGGAGGGAGGTGGGGTGTTGACTCCCTGTCTTGTGCTCCTTTGCCAGAAGTGTCCCCACGCGCAGGGCTGCTCCCGGAGGCCTGAGGGCTCCCCTGGGCTCCTTCCCTGACCACTCCCAGCCCTGGAGCAGGAGAGGTTCCCATGCCCTGGTCCCCAGAGAGCCAGGGCCTGGGAAGAACAGGAGAAGGGAATGGGGCGCTCTCTTCTCCTCTCATGCCTGCAGCCCTGGGGCGCTGATCACTGTTTAAGGAGCAAATGAGGGGCTGGAGTCTTGCCCCGGTCAGAGGGAACCACCCCTAAGTCAGGTGTGGCCTGGGCCCACTCTTGAATGCCTGCACCAGGGGAGCCATGACGGGGGCACCAGCAAGAAGACGGTGCTGGGGCCAGCAGCCTAGCCCCTCCAGGGCTCACCGCACCTCCACCATGGGCCCAGAGGGCATTTTCCTGGGGCCAAGGGGACGAGGAGGGCAGACCCCAAATTCCCACCCCACCCTCGATTCCAGCTGAGCCTTAATCAAAGTTCCAAATGCCAGGCAGTCCCAGCTGCGCCTGGCTCTGGGCTCCATCACTATGGAGACAGGATCTGGGACGCTGCCCCCCCTCACCTTCTGTGATGTTGGACAGCCCCCCCCCCCAATCCCCTCACACAGGAGAGGGCCTGTCAGCTTCCTGTCCCACTCCCCCTCACGGTGGGCCTGAGCTTTGCCCTTCTCGCCACCCTAGCTGCTGTCAGTGCCTCTGATCTGGGAGGTGAATTGAGGGTGCCCCTCAGCAAGGCAGACGAAGGGCTGCTGGAGCAGAAGGGGGAGAAGGAGCAGGCCGGGGACGGGCCCTGCAGCCCGTGCAGCACTGTCTTGGGCTCCCGGCTGCCAGCATAGTGCTCTCGTGGTCCCCTCCTGCTTGTGGCTCAGGAACCACCAGTGCTTGGGGTAGGAAGGGCTCCCCTGGGGTGACCCGGGCATAGGGGAGCTTCCTCCCAGCACCCTCCTTCAAACAGCCAGGAGAGGTTCCTCAGGACTCCATCGCTCCTCTCCCCCCCCCCCCCCCCCCCTCCAGTCAGGCTCAGCCGGGCCACAGGCAGGGCCAGCTGATCTCCCACATGTGGCTGCTCCTTGGCGGCCCTCCATGGGGCGGGGTGGGGGGACAGTCTCCCATCCTCACATCTTCTGGGCAACATTAGGTCACTGGACAAACCTCTCTCCAAGCCTGAAATGGGGGTGGCGGGGGCCATCAATTGGGTCTCTTTGTTCTACCCTCAGGGCCCAGTGATGCTTAATGGACAGTCGGGAGGGGGCAGGCTTTGTGGGAGTGCGGGGAGCTGAGACTAATTCGGGGCAGGGAGAGGCGTGCACAGCAGGCTGCCCTCCCCCTTCCTCCTTGCTCCCTCTGCCCTGTCAGTGCAGCAGGTCAGTGCTGCGGGTCAGGGCAGAGGGCAGAGGGCAGCTGGAATGGGCCTCCTGGGCTGGGCTGCTTTATTATTCATGAGCAGTGCGGGCTGAGTGGCTGGGATGGGGGGCGAGCCTGTCCTCTCTGGAGGAGGGTCCAGTGCTGGCTAACCACGCTTCCTCTTCCCGGCCCAGGAGCTGACACGCTGAGCGATGGGAGTTCTGTGAGCCTGGAGGTGGGTCCCGGCAGTCGGGAGACGTCAGCGGCCACACTGTCCCCTGGGGTGAGCGGCCGCAGCTGGGACGACAGTGACACCCGCAGTGAGCACAGCTACAGCGAGTCGGGCGCCAGCGGCTCATCCTTCGAGGAGCTGGACCTGGAGGGCGAGGGACCCCTGGGGGAGCCCAGGCTGAGCCCTGAGGCTGAGCCCCTGGGAGCTCCCAAGTGGCCCCGTGAGCTCAGTACCCCCGAAAGAGGCGAGGAGTAGCCGTGGCCCCGTCCTCTGCTGCAGTGACTAAGGAACTGACCAGACTCCTCAGCCTCCTCCTCCACCTTCTGGGCCCAGGCAAGGGCCAGGGGTCTCAGGGGACCTGACTTCAACCCCCGGCCTCCAGCCAAGCCCTGTCCTCACTGCCCTCTTGGCTCCCAGGGCGAAGGAGCAGGGACTGTTCCCTGCCCCGGCCCCGGGCTGCTGCCTCTGTTACATCTTTTTTCAGATTCACATTGGAGCTTCCAGGAACCAGAATAAAGCAAAAGATTTTATTGTTTCACCTGGGGTTGTGCTGTGCATTTGTGTGTGTGTGTGTTCTACCTCGGGGAGCCCTGTGCAGAAAGGTGGGGTGTGGACAGGAGCACCCCAGCCCAAGAAGAGGGAGGGGGACAGCACCATGGGGTGGGGGCAGACAGGGTTCCGGGAGGCCCTCCACTCCCTGCTCTGTGGCCCCGGTGCAGCTGCCCCTCCCTTGCAGCAGTGCCAGAGGCTCCAGGCTGCTGGAGAGCAGGACGAGGGGTGTGGGAACTGAGCACAGGGCGCCCCGGGCTCAGGAGTGGGGAGCTCATGGTCTGTCTTGGCCTGCCTGTAAGGGATGCATTCGTGTCTGTGGCTCGAGTGTGCCTGTGTTCATGCTAGCATCTGCCCCGCAGGTGAGATGTCCCCGCTGTGCCGCCCGTGTCTGCATGCCTGCCTGTGTGCGTGCACACGTGCTCGTGCTTTTGATTCTGTGTGTGACCCTGGATGGGTCTGCTGGGGAGGCTGTGATGTGCTGGGGCTGGCGTGTTCGTGTGGATGCTGTGTGACCGGGTGTGAAGCTGGCGGGAACATGCTGTTCTCTGTGTGTGGCTGTGTCTGCACAGCTGTGTGTGTGGTTGTGTGTTCACGTGTGCAGTGTCTTTTTCTGTGTGTCTGCGTGAATACAGCTGTGTGTGACCACACAGGGCAGAGGGCAGTTGAACGAGCCTCAGGGTGGCTCTATTATTCATGATGTGCTGTATGGCCATATGTTGGTGTCCATGTGTACAGCTGTACGTGTGTGCACATTTAAAGCTGTGTATTATGTATGACCCAGCCGGCGTGGCACTATGGTTGAGCATCAACCTATGAACCAGGTAGTTATGGTTTAGTTCCGGATCAGGGCCCAAACCCAAGTTGCAGGCTCGATCCACAGTAGGGAGCCTGCAGCCGATCAATGATTCCCTCTCATCATTGATGTTTCTCTCCCCCTTCCTCTCTGAAATCAACGAGAATATATTAAAAATAAAATGATAAAGCTGTGTATTAGGGCCGTGTCTGCATGTACAGCTCAGTGCTTGTGCTTACATGTATTGCTACATATGGCCACATCCACATGTGCAGCTCCGTAGGGCTGGGTGTGTGACTGCATGTCCGTGTGCCAGGGTGTGCCATGGGGCAGGCGCTGTGTTCCACGCCTGTGAGGCTGCCTGGTGAGCAGCTCCTCTCACCTCAGCATCCGGCTGCTGTCAGCCGCTCTGCTCAGGCCTGGCCCGTGGCTCACCCACCCCAGGGAGCAGTCCCTGAGCCAGCCCGCAAGGCGAAGTGAGAGCAGCGGGAGCGGGGAGACAGCCTGCCTCCCTCCCCAGCTGTCTGACAGCTCTGAACCTGCACCCGCTGCCCCATCGCCTCCCGTCAGCCGTGGAGTTTGATGGTCGGGGTTTGATGTGTTTGTGTGTTCACAGCTGTGCTCTTTCCAGAGCAGTGGGGCATCGGGATTCTGTGTCCAGGCAAAAGCCTGTCCTTCCGTGCCGACGCTCTTACCCCCCCCCGCCCCCCTGCAGTTGCCACACACACGTAGATGTGTGTGCCTGTGGCCTGGGCTTGGCACGTGCTCCTAGCGTGTGTCTGAGCTGGCCTTGCCCCTGCGGACACCTGTGGAAGGAAGGGCAGCCCCAGGCAGCGTGTGGGGCTGCCGTGCGCTCAGCACGTGTCAGTGTGCGTGTGCGGGTGCGGGTGCTCGCTGGGGCAGGGCCACGGGCCCCTCCCGAGCCCTCACACAGGCTGGCGCCGCAGCTTGTCCCCCACGCGCCCTGGGCCGCTGCCCTGGGCCGCCTTCCCTTCCCTCCCTCCGCCCCGGCGCCAGCCCCTGTTCCCTCCCACGGAGCCGCCTGTTCCAGGAGCCTCTTCCCCAGTCCTCGCCCTCCCAGATGCCCTGCCAGCCCCGGCGTGTCCCTCGGGGACCTAGTCCCTGGCCCACAGACCCCTTGGCCTTTGCACATGAGGGTGAGGATTACTGTGGGGGTCAGGGCTGGGGTGGGTGTGTTGGGAGGGAAGTAGCAGCTTAAAGGTCATTTGCAGGAAGGAAGAGGAGGCCCCATCCTCCTCTGACACACACACCCCCCCCCCATCTCTTCCTCCGAGTGACTCAGGCCCCAGCTCCCACATGGGGCTGAAGACACATGCCCCCGCCTGGGCCTGGCATGTGGACTGAACTGCTGTCCATGAGTGAGTGTGTGTGTGAGAGAGAGAGGGGAGGAGTGTGTGGATGTGAGGACAGGGACAGACTGTCTGAGCCCTGGACCCTTCTCCCACGTGCCCCTTTGCCCCGGGACCCCAGGCCAGCCCCAGTGCTCTCACAGGTGGGAACCCTTAGCGCTTGCCCTGCTCCTGGGGCTCAGTGACCTTCCCAGCCCGGTGCCCCATGCCCGCTGCCCTCCGGGACGGAGTGTGACCGCGGGGCGGAGGGGGCCCAGGGCCCGGTCCAGCCTGGCGGGAGCGGCGCGGATTCAGCACCAGGAGGCGGACAGCTCCGGGCGGAGGCCGGGAGGGAGCGGGAGGTGGGGAGGGGAGGGCGGGGAGGGCCCGGGGGCGGGCCGGCCGGCGGGGGCGGGGCGGCAGCATGGAAAGCGGCGGCGGCGGGCGGAGAGCTCACAGCCGCCGAGCGGGCGAGCGAGCCGGTGGGAGCCCGAGCCCCGCGCCCGGCTGCTCTCCGCTCCTCTCCGCGCCAGAGCCGGGCGCGCAGGTAGGGTAAGCCCGTGGCTGCAGCCGACCTCCTGGCCCCCACGTCCCCGAGTCCCGCGGGTCCTCTGGTCCTGGGCGCCCGGTCCCTGCCAGGTACCCAGAAGCGGGAAGACAGCGCCGGGCATCCCGCCTTGCTTTCCCGGAAAACGCTCGCCCTGCCCGGTGCTCCCTCGTCCCTCCCCTTCGTCCCTCTGGTCCCCCGTCCTCTGGTCTGTCTTTCTGTCTGTGCCTCTTTGTCTCAGCTCTCGGGCTGGACCGCTCCCTGCCCAGATTTTGGGGCCAGGCCCCTGGGGCTGCCTGCTTGCAGGGTCTGTCTCCTCTCGGGGTTCGGTCCCCATCCCTCAGAGCTGTCCCTGCCGCCCCTGCCAGAGGCTCGTGGTGACAGGTCTGGGCCTCAGCCCCCATCTGGGTCCCTGTCCCCCTCCGAGCAGGTCTCTCCGGTGAGCCTGGCCCGCCAGGACCCCGGGCCCCCACCCAGGCGCCGCTGCAGCCCAGCCAGGGAGGCGAGGGGCAGAGGGCGGGCAGCGCTCAGCCTCCGCGGCCCGGACTTGGGTCTTTGAGAGTTGCTGCTGCCCTTCTTGGGGCTCAGGTCCCCTCTCCCGGCTCCCCAAGCTGCGAGGCTGCGGGAGCCGTGAGCCGGCGCAGGGCAGGGGCCTGCGAGGGGTGCAGAGGGGGAGAGGGAGGGACGGTCTCTGAGGGCTGGGCTGGCCGGGGGACAGGACCCTGAGGCTGCGGGTGGGGCGGCTGGAGACGTGACTTTTCTGCTGGGTTCTGAGCTGGAGAGGAAGCGCAGGCAAAGTCCCAGACGCTCCAGCGCAGAGCGCAGGGGGGAGCCTCGCCCTGAGCGGGCTGTGAGGTTGGGACCAGATGAGCCGTCCCCACCCGACGGACACCCGCACCCGCACATCCACATCCCCTGCTGCCTCAGGACCTGGCCACTCCGCGGCCTCCCTGGGGCCCCCTGGCTGCCTAACTGCAGTGCCCAGGACTCTCTGACTCCCCCAGGCGGGGGGGGGGGGGCGGGGGGCTTTTGAAGAACCAGAGGCTAGGACCCGGGGGCTCACCTGGGCACCCACCGCCTCCCTGGGCCCTGGAGATGGACACCCTCTCCCCTGGCGGGCTCTCAGCCAGCAGCCGCGGCTCGGGGTGGGCACTGGGCCCGTCTGTAAGTCGGATCTGGTCTCTGCTGCAAAGTTGTTGACCTTGGGGTCCTGAGAGGTTAGTGAGGGTCCGGGACGCTCTTTGATTTGCGGGGAGATGGGTGTTGGCCGGGGTCTCCCGCCCGCTCTGCTGAGTCTGGGATGGACACAGGGCCCACTCCAGCCCCGGGTCAGGGCAGGGCTGAGAGATGGGCCAGGGTGTCTCGGGAGCTCCTAGCCTGCCGTGTCATCACTCTTCCGGCTCCTGAGTGCCTGGGGCAGCGGTTTGGGGGAGGCAGTCCGCAGGGGTAGCCGCTCTCAGATTCTGCTTCTCTCCGTCTGTCTGTCTGTCCGTCTGTTTCTCTCTCTGCAGGAGCTGGGCCCCTTCTCGTCTTCCTTCCTGTCTGTCCGCTCCTGCTCCTCCTCTGCCCCTTTCTCTGCCTCTGCTGCTTCTGCCCTCGTCCCCTGGAGGCTCAGGTCTGTGCCCCCCCACCCCCCCGCCTGGGGCCATGGGAGCGCTGCTGGGGCTCCTGGCGATGCTGCTGTGGGGCGCCGGGGCCGAGGGCCCGGCCAGGAAGGTGCTGACGCTGGAGGGGGACCTGGTGCTGGGCGGGCTGTTCCCGGTGCACCAGAAGGGCGGCCCGGCCGAGGAGTGCGGGCCGGTCAACGAGCACCGCGGCATCCAGCGCCTGGAGGCCATGCTCTTCGCGCTGGACCGCATCAACCGCGACCCGCGCCTGCTGCCCGGCGTGCGGCTGGGCGCGCACATCCTGGACACCTGCTCCAAGGACACGCACGCCCTGGAGCAGGCGCTGGACTTTGTGCGCGCCTCGCTCAGCCGGGGCGCCGACGGCTCCCGCCACGTCTGCCCCGACGGCTCCTACGCCACCCAGGACGACGCTCCCGCCGCCATCACGGGGGTCATCGGCGGCTCCTACAGTGATGTCTCCATCCAGGTATGGGGGCGGGGCTCAAACGGAGGCGGGAGAGAGAGGCCAGGGCGGGGACCCCAGATTCCTAATGACCAGGGCTCTGGGCCGCCTGGCCCTGCAGGAGGAACCAGGAGCTTCCTTGGTGTGGCTCTTTACCGGGGCTGAGAAAGGGCCCCGTCACATGGGGGCCCAGCTTTAGAGACTGTGAGGGGAAACATCACCCTCCC